TGCCGGTATGAACATTTCAGGAACTATCTTGACTGTATTCTGTTATTAACCTGAATTATAACCTTTTGACTGTCCCAATATGGTTCTGTGTGGTCTGTGAGCTATCACATCAGACTTTGAACCCATCAGTGCTGTAAGATTGGTGTTGAGCTGAGTAGAAATAGGTGTGTGAGCATGGGGGCATGTCTGACCTCATGGGAATTACTTTTGGGTTGCTGATGTTGTAGATGGGGACAGTTTCCCTCTGTCAAGTTGGTAAAGGTCAGATAGACACTTCCCACCTGGCCCTTGCTCTTATTACAACATCTCAACAAGATGGATTGACATGGTGACTTCCACAATGTACTTGAGCATGGCACAGAGTATGAAGATGGCACAAGATAGGGCAAGATTCATATCATAGGGTCATTATAAGTCATAGTCAACTTGATGGCACTTGAGAACAACAGCTTCCTTTCCCAGAATCATGTCTTTTACAAAGGACTGAGCCCCTTGCTGTCAAGAGGGGTCAAAAGTATGTGAGACAAGTGCTCCTGAGTTAGTAAGCAGGAAACCTGCATCATTGGTCTGCCCTGCCCTGCTCTGCTGTTCACAGAGATTGCTTTGCACAAGTTGAAGACCCATGGCTTTAGAAGAAAGTTCTCCCTCTTTCTGTCCACTCTGTGGCAAGGTCCTGACCTCTTGCAGCTTCCTTTCCTCAAGCCCTTGGCAATCTCCTTGTAGAATCCCCCTTCCCCATTTGTGCTTCCTTGTTCACGCCTCTTACCTGCTCTTCTGTATCTCAGAAGTGATTGTTTAAACACGTTGCCGCACACTTTTAAACTGAAAACTGTGCTTAGAAACACTTTTTTTTTTAATTGTTAATGACTGCCGTATGAAATTGACGGTCGGCCGTATGTTTGGAAGTCAAAATTAATTAAAATGTGCAGGGCAGCTATAGCCGTCATTTGTGGCAACGTGTTAAGACACACTCCACCTGTACTGATGATATGGACTGTATCCTAGCAGACCTCATTAGCATACCAGAGAGGTTAGCAAGCCATCCAGTTGGGACCTCCATGTAGTTAATCCTCCAGCAGTTTTCAGAGGAAGTCTTTCTCCTGAGGAGCGGTTGGTGGATTCAAACCGTGTGAGTTGGCAGTGCAGCACCTTGCCCCTTAGGCCGCCAGAGCTCCCTGGCTCGTAATCGACTCATAGATACTCTGCATTCATAGAGAGCTCCGGTGGCCGAGTAGTAAGAAGCTGTTCTGCGTTCCCAAAGGCAGGCAGTTCAAATTCACCAGCTGCTCCATAGGAGGATGGGCGGTCTCTTCCTGTGCAGTTAATGAACTGCCTCTGGAAACCTGCTGGAGGGTCAGCTATAGGTTGGTTCTGACTTGACAGCACACAACAACCACCACCCTGTATACAAACCTTTGACACTTTGCCCTGGCCTGCACCATCCTCACAGTCTCTGCTGTGCTCAAGCCCATTGTCGCAGGCACTGGTTCCGCCCACCTTGTTGAAGCTCCTCCTCCCCTTCTCTGACTCTGCATCTGCAAGCACGATACCATTTTCCGGGACTGCGCCCTCCTGACAATGTACTCCGAGTATGTGAAGCACAGTCCCCGCCCTTGCCTCTACGAACACCTTGGCTGCACTTCTTTCAAAACAGATTTGTTTGGCCTTTGTACACACAATATTTTTTAATGACACCACACTTCAAAGACATCGGTTCTTCTTCCATCTTCTGTATTCACTGTCCAACTTTAACATGTCTTTGAAACAATTGAAAATATCATGACTAGGATCAGAGTGGAGGGGAAGTGAAGGAGAGGAAGACCTTTGGTGAGATGGATCGATTCTGTGACTGGAGCGGTGGGAATAAGTGCATTTGAGATGGCTAGGTTGGCACAGGATAGAACAGCGTTTAGAGCTCTTGTACATAGGGTCGCTATGAGTCGCAGGCGACTCGATGGCACATAACAACAACAACAGGATCAGACACCTAGCAGTCTTTAAATAGGTGTCATTGCTCGTTAGGACTTTAGAGAAGTATTGACAGCAGATTTTTCTATCACAACACCTCTTCTCGTTTCTTGATTGCTCTACCATGGGTGTTGATTGTAGATCCAAGTAAAATTAAATCCTTGACAATTTCAATCTTTTCTCCGTCTATGATACTGTATTCATCCATTGGTAAGAATTTTTGTTTTCTTGATGTTAAGATGTAATCCATATTGAAGGCTGCAGTCTTTGATCTTCTTCAGTTAAGTGCTTCGAGTCCTCTTCACTTTCTGCAAACGGAATTGTGTCATCTGCATAACACAGGTTGTTAGTGAGTCTTCCGCCAGTCCTGATGCCACATTCTTCTTCATTTAGTCTAAATTCTAAGTGATTTACTCAGCATGCAGATTGAATAGGGATGGAGGAAGGAAACATCCTTGACATACACCTTCCTGACTTAAAACCATCCAGTATTTCTTTGCTCTATTGTAATGATTTCATTTTGGTTTATGTACAAGTTTCACATGAGCACAGTCACGTGTTCAGGGATTCCCATTCTTCTCCAAGTTTGATATAATTTTTTTTATCCATACAGTAAAAAAAAAAAAGCTTCATCTCTCCTTGGGAAGGGATGTCATTCATATAAGGGTAGACGGTTAGCAAAGGAGAGGAAGACCTCAATGAAATGGATTGACATGGTGACTACAGCAATGGGCTCAGATGTGTCAGACTGTGAGAATGGTCAAGATTCAGATCTGTTTTACGTAGGGTCGCTGTGAGTGATACTCGACAGCATTGTCAAATTCACTTGCCTCGTCAAGATATCACAAGTGGACATCTTTCTCTTACTTTCTGCTTCTATCCAAGATCCATCTGACAGCAGTAATGACACCCTTCATGCCGTGACCTCTTGTGCTTGAATTTCTGGCAGGTGTTGAGGTTAGGATGTACAGCACACAATACGGAAAGCATTTGCAGCACAGATTGTAGAAGGAGAGACATCATTCAGTTCATAGCATCATCGGTGCTGCCACTTGTGGTCCGAGGACCGCTCTTTGAGTAGCAAAGCTCTGCCTAGTCTGATCCTGCCATTTCTTAAGGTGTCGCTTTTCAGGAATCCAGCAAATTTGTCTGTGAGTTGGCTAGTCACAGGGACTTAATTTAACCAACAGCACAAAATTGCCATCTTTAGGTTTTTGGGTGTTTTGTTGTTGTTGTTGTTGTTGTTGTTGTTTTCTTGGAATCTTTGTTTTGAGGTTGAATAGAGTCTCTGAACCATTTCTTTGCCTTTGCTGGTTATATCTTTCTTAGCCCTGTTGCTCATGATTGCTCAGAGCAGGTGACTTGGGGCCTCTCCGGGCTCCCCAGAACCATGGTTGCACTAGCCATTTGAGCCACTGGTTATTGCTTTTCTTGCCCTGCACCTCCCTAGAGTGCCTTGAAGAAGCCACCTTTTCCCAGACCTCCTAAATCCCAAGCCACACTTTTTGGAGCCTCTAATTTTAGAAAATTTTATGGTCATTCAGGTAATTGGCCAGACTTAAGGACTGTTACTGCAGCCTGTGTGTTTAAGACATCATACTATGTAAATCTGCTATTGGAACAATTTAGAGCTTAATTAGCTCTAAATGGAAGCAATTGGAAGACCTTAAAAGCAACCTAATACCTTTAAAACCTGTGAAGAGATCTGTTCACTGGAGGCCAGGTGTGATTGGCTGAGCCTTGGAGAGAGGCACTTAATTGTGTTTTTTTGAATTTGAAATTGGCTGAACCAGATGATAATTCATTTTGATGTTGAGCAACTGATTCAAATCATTAAGTAGACAACGGAAGCATTTGTCATCAGGCTCCGCGTGTGATGCGATGGCGCACAGGTGATTTTTCCTCTGAGCAGTCTTGCTCAAGGTGAAGAGCAAGTGCACTTGGGTGAAGTGCGGGCTCCCCCTTGTCCTTGTCTGTGTCTGGGGCCTCTGTGTGTGTTGATCGTAAAGTCCATCAGCCCCCAGCTGGGGCTCCTCGTTGGCGACCACATCACTGTCACCGATGCGTTGGTGGAGTGGATTCTGTTGCAGAGCGTCTTTGGCCCTCGTCCTCCCCTGGCTCGAAGGCCACGTGTAACTAGGAGACGCAGCTCCAGCCTATAGGATGCTTGTTTGTTAAACCTGTTTTTAAGTGACCTTTTGTACAGCAAATCGACGTTCCCTTCACCCATCCCCACACGTTTTGTCCTGTAACTTTAATTATAATCCCCATGTTGCATGTGCTCTCTCCCCACCTCTTGCTGGTAGTTCTCATTTCTACCCATCCTTCTGTCCTATTCTTCCTTCTTCTGAGCTTTAATCCTCAGCACATGCCACCCCTTGGATCTTCTGAAGTTGTTTACTCTGTGGAGTATTGCCACTCTCTTCCGCCTATCGGCCTGTCTGCTGTTTTGCTAAATAGGGGAGGTGAGCCTTGTTCCAGGGTCTGATGCATGGTCCTGGGGTCCCTACAGTCGCCACAGACCAGTAAGCCTGTCTGTTTGTAAAATTTCGTTCCATATTTGCCCTCAGTCTATGCAAAGCCTTTTCTCCAATCCCTTTGACAATGGTCAGTGATGGCAGCCGGGCACCATCTATTTCTTCTGATCCGGGGGTCACAGAGGTTGGGTGTTTCATGGCCCATTCGCACTTTGGACTGATTGTTGCAAGATGCTCCTGAAGCATCCTCGGCTCTGCTTCACCATCTATCTCTCCCTTCAAGCGTTCGTCCGTCGCACATCTGTCTTCCTTGGAGGTTGTCTGTCTGCCGTGCAGGAAGAATGGTCTCTGTCCGTCTTCAGCGTGGGAGGGACGGTCGTCTGTCGCTCTCCCGTGCAGGAGGGATGGTCATCTGTCTGTCTTCCATGCAGAAGAGACACTGGCTGCCCTCAGTAGGAAGGCAGAGCCCTAGGCTGGCCTCCAGGCCCCCAGGAGCGTGCGCTGGCGTCTGGGCTGCAGTCCGCAGTGGTGTTCACCCACCTTGTTTGTTCCTAGGGCATGTCACTAGTGCGTCCGGGCCTCAGATGGCAAGCGGCGTCAGCCTGGTCTCCTTCAACAGCCGGCCGGACGGCATGCACCAGCGCTCCTATTCTGTCTCCAGTGCTGACCAGTGGAGTGAGGCTACGGTCATTGCCAACTCGGCCATCAGCAGTGGTAAGAGCAGCTCTGTGGGCTGTGGCCACCAGAGTCTTTACTCTCCCAGCCTCTTCAGCCTCGCTCGTCTGGGCAGCGCTGGCGGGCTGGCCCACCCGTGTCCTCTCACTGGTCCCTTGAAGAAACCTATGAACGCAGGAAAGGGTGTGCTTTTGTACCCATTTCACAGACAGATTCATGGGCTGACACTGAGACAGGGAGGAGTCAGAGCTGCTCCCAGGTCATTGCTGCCCAGCTGCTGCCCTGTGCACCTGCCTCACATACAGACCTTGTGCCCTTGGGGTTAGATTGACAGTGGTGCTCGGGAGGGAGACCCATGGACACAAGGAACAGTACGCCTTTGTACCCATTTCACAGACTCAGGGCACCGGCCTGAGCCCTGAGACAGGAGGAATCAGAGCTGCTGCCCTGCGCACCTGCCTCACATACAGACCTTGTGCCCTTGGGGTTAGATTGACAGTGGTGCTCGGGAGGGAGACCCATGGACACAAGGAACAGTACGCCTTTGTACCCATTTCACAGACTCAGGGCACCGGCCTGAGCCCTGAGACAGGAGGAATCAGAGCTGCTGCCCTGCGCACCTGCCTCACATACAGACCTCGTGCCATTGGGGTTAGATTGAGAATGGTGTTTGAGAGGGCTTTCAATGGCCATGCCCTCTCGGCGGCAGACCAGCTGGCCTTCTCCCGAGGCCCCTTCGAGTGGGCTGAGCATTCGTGCTTTCATGATAGTTGGGTGCTTAACTGTAGGTGGCATCATATCTTCTCATTGAACTCCACAACTTGCCGATCAGCCCTGACTCCCAGTGACCCCACGAGGGCCCCTCCTCTTTGCAGGAGGACACTGCCCATCCCTCTCTCCACAGCACAGTGGCTTGTGGATTTGAACATGACCTTCTGTGGTTGGCCGTGCAACACCTAATAGCCACCAGGGCTCTTTTCCATATCATTAAGGTTTTGTTTTCTCAAATTAAATAGCTCGTTCTTCTTGTAGCATCCTGGGTGTAACTGCTCCATCTGGGGACATGCACTCCACGATGATGTTTTCCCTGATTTTTGCGGAGCACAGCTAGCTCCTTGGAAGACAAACAGGCAAACTGGGAAGTGTCGAGCCAGGCGTTTTGCATTGGAGAGGGCGCTGTGCTCAGGGGTGGGGACTGGCAGTGCCTGTGGCTGTCTGGCTGTGGCCTGTTCCCCAGTATTTAAGGGAATTCCCATGGCTGTGGGTAATCCATCAGACAGGGTCTGAGAACCATTGTAGCATAATTTGTTCTAATTAAAACACTGGAGCACCAGGTCTTCCCTGTGGACCTCACACTTACTGCAGGAGGCTTTGAGTAAACATCATCCTTACTTCCCATTACCCGACGTGAGCCGGGCAGCCCTCGCCACGCAGGGAGGGGTCACTGAATCAGCAGAGAACAGGTGACTCTGAGCACGTGAATGGACATCACCAGGGCCCCATTCCTGTGCCCATGTTCCCTCCTCACTTAAGAAGGGCTGACTGGATCAGAAGCATAGGTCTGCCTTCCACCTCTTGAACTCTCTGAAGTCAGGAAGGTGACCAGAATCCTTCTGAAGTGGGATTTAAGTCAACCAAACACCTTGTCGTCTAATCAGTCCCAACCCATGCTGGCCTCCTGTGTCACAGGGGAGAGCCGAGCTCCGTAGCCTTCTCTGAGGAGCCCTGGTAGCCGAGTGGGTACAGAGCTGTGTCCATGCCAGTGGCAGGCACCTGCAGGTCCAAGGGAGAAAGATCCGGAATCTCCTCTCAGGCAGTTCACAGCCTCTGAAAACCCGCTGGGCGGCCAGCTCTGATTCCAACTCCACAGCAATGAGAGTGTTAAAGAGAATCTTTCAAGAAAAGACCAAAATGGATGTCAGAAGAGACCCTGAAAGTGGCACCAGAGTGTGGAGAAGGAAATGCTGAAGTGAGAGTGGTGAGGGGAAGATTTGAAAGGGCAGCTAGAGAAAAACAGAGAGCCAGACTTAGAAAACCGCAAGGGAAGAGCGTGCTGGGCATCCCTCCGGCTGAAAGAACTCAGGGGTCAATCCAAGCCGAGCGTGCAATCCTGAAGGGTTCTATGGGCAATTCCTTGGCTGATACAAGAAGCAGCAAAAGAAAATGGAAAGAACACACAGAGCTACTGTACCCAAAAAAATTGGTGGGCACCAAACCATCTCAGGAGATAGCATATGATCAAGAACCACTGGTAATAGGGAAGAAGTTCAAGTTGCACTGAAGGCATTGGCCCAAATTGAGGTTCCAGGATTTGATGGAATACCATCTGAGGTGTTTCAACAAACAAATGCATCCCTGGACATGCTTGCAAAGCTATGCCAAGAAATTTAAATTGGAATTGGTCCAGATTTGTTTCTGTGCTCCCCCCAAAGGCAGTCTAACAGAGTGTGGAAATTGCAGAACAATATTATTAATATCGTGTGCAAGTAAAATCTTTCTGACAATTATTCAAAAATGACTGGAGCAGTAGAACTGAACTGCCAGAAATTCAAGCTGGATTTGGATAAGGCTGTGGTACGAGGGATGTCACTGCTGATGTCAGATAGATCTTGGCTGAAGACAAAGCACCAGAAAGATGTTTGCTTGGGCTTTATTGGGTATGTGTTTTACTTGACTGTGTGGATCATAACTAATTATGTATAACATTTATGAGACTAGGAATCTCAGAACACTTTCTTGTGCTCATGAGAAACTCATACACCAAGGAGCAGTTGTCTGAATAGAACAAGGGAGCACTGTTGTTGTTGTTATGTGCTGTCAAGTCACTTGCGACTCATAGCGACCCTATGTACAACAGCCCTAAACTCTGCTCTGTCCTGTGCCAATTGTGCTGTCTCCAATACACCCATCCCGATTATCCCAGTCACTGAATCAATCCACCTCATAGAGGGTCTTCCCCTCCTGCGCTGTCCCTCCACCCTCTCAATCATGATGCCTTCTCCAAGGACCGGTCCCTCCTTAAAACATGTCCAAAGTAGACGGAGCCTAAGAATCCTTGCCTCCAAGGAGCCACCTGGTTTAACCCTCTCCAGGATGAATCTGTTTGTTTTCCTAGCAGTCCATGGTACCCTCAATACTCTTCTCCAGTACCACAGCTCAAAGGCATCAATTCTCCTTCTATCCTCCTTAGTCATTATCCAACTCTCTGATGTGTAACAAGTGATTGCAAAGACCATGGCCTCTATCAGACGCACCTTAGTCTCTAGAGAGACACCATTGCTCTTCAGTACTTTGGAGAGGTCCTTAACAGCAGACTTTCCCATGGCAATGCACCTTTTAATTTCCTGGCTACTGGTGCCAAGAGTGTTGACTGTGGAGCCAAGCAAACTAAAGCTGTGAATAATTTCAATCTCTTCACCATCCATCCTGATGCTGCCAATTGGTCCAGTGGTGAGAATCTTTGTCTTCTTGGCATTGAGCCTCAGTCCATATTGGAGGCTGCAGTCCTTGACCTTCTGCTAGCAGGTGCTTCAGGTCGTCCTCAGTTTCAGCAAGCAGGGTTGTGTCATCTGCATAACGTAGATGGTTGATAGATCGTCCAGCAATCCTGACCCCACACTTCTCCTCATAGAGCCCAGCCTCCCGGATAATCTGTCCTGCTTACAGGTTGAAAAGGTATGGAGATAGGACGCATCCCTGGAGCACTACAAGGTTTAAAATCAGGAAAGGTGTGAAAGGATTGTACCCTTTCTCCATACCTATTCAATTGGTATGCTAAGCATGTCATTCAAGAAGCTGGACTCTACAAAGAAGAATGTGGCATCAGGATTGGAGGAAGACTCATCACCAATCTGAGTTATACAGATGACACATCTTGCTTGCAGAAAGTGAAGAAGACTTGAAATAGCACTTACTGCCAAAGATAAAAGACTACAGCTTTCAATATGGATTCTATCCCAACATCAAGCAAACAAAAGCTTGACCACTGGACCAATAAGTAACTTCAAGACAGATGGGGATATGTTTGAAGTTGTCATAATTTCATTTTACTTGAATCTGCAGTCAACACCCATGGCAACAGTAGTTGAGGAATCAAAAGACTTATGACATTAGAGAAATCTGCTCTCAAGGACTTCTTGAAAGTGTTGAAGAGAAAGGATATCAGCTTAAAGACTGAGGTGTGCCTGCCTCATCCAGAGTAAGGTCTTTTCCGTTGCTTCCTCTGCCTCTGAAAGTTGGACAGCGATTAAAGGAGGGAAGCAAAAAAACCAATGCTTTTGAATTGTAGTGTTGGAGAAGAGTACTGAATATCTTATGGTCTGCCGAAAGAACAAGTCTGTTTTGGAGGAAGTATGACCAGGATGCTCCTTCAAGGCAAGGATGGTGACACTTTGTCTCACAGACTTTAGGCATCATATTTTCTGAAGTGGTCAATCCTTGGAAAAGACATTCTGAGAAAGACAGAAGGTCCATGAAAGAGAGGAAGACCCTCAGAAAAACGGGTTAACACAGTGACTGCAATGATGGGTACTTACTGAAGAAGGACAAAGACTACAGCCTTCAATATAGATTACCTCTCAACGTCAGCAAAACAGAAATCCTCACCTCTGGACCACAGACACCCTCATGATAGACGGAGAGAAGATTGCAGGTGTCAGTGATTCATGTTACTTGGATCCTCAATCAGCACCCAGGGTAACAGCAGTCAGAAAAGCTAACGTTGTGTGGCCTTGGTGAGATCTGCTGTCGGGGACTCCGCAAAGTGCCAAAGCGTACAGATGTCAGTTCAAAGACTGAAATATGCCCGATCCGAGTCATGGCTTTTCAGTTGCTTTGTATGTCCCTGAAAGTTGGGCAGTGAGTAAGGAAAACCAAAGGAGAATGCTTTTGAATTGTGGGATTGTCAGGGGGCGTGAATATGCATGGTCTCGGGTGGCTGAAAGAGCAAACATCTCTGCATTTGAGGAAATACAACCAGGATGCACTTAGAGGCAAGAAAGATGGAAATTTGTAGTTAGGGCATGTGGTCAGGAGAGGTC